TCGTTAATGGACCCTGAAGCTTTAAATTGAAAGTGATTATTTTCAATTTCATATAATTTTTATTTAAAAAATTAATCAAATTAAAATTATTATTTTTAAAAATTTAAAACCAAAATAGATTTAAAGTAACTAGATTTAGTTCAGTTTTTGTTGTTCAAAAACCAATAAAATGCAAGAATCAAATCTCATTTTTGTTCTTCAAAAACTTATTCTAGTCTACAATCAAAGTCCCAAATTACAACATAATAAAAAAAATAAAAACCCATAAAATATCAAAAAAAATAGAAATTAGAGATTAATCAAGATGGCAAGAAAACAGATCTATCTAAAATGAGCGGATCCAAATGAGAGCTCATATTAGTGTTTTTAGAAAAACATATCTACTAGGAAGAGAAGGGAATGTGATGGAGAAATAAGATGTAAGGAGGCAAAGAGAAAAAATGAGGGGTGAGGGGCGGCTGAAGTTTATGAATTTATTACCAGGAAGAGAAGAGAATATGATGGTTAAATAATGTGCGAGGCAAAGAGGGGGGGTGTTGCTTTAGGGTTTAGGTTAGTACTATTTTTTTATATATATAGTTAGTTATGTGGTTGAATTAGTTCGGTTCATTCTCATTCAATTGATTTTAAACATTTAAAATCAAAATCAAACCGAATCAAAAATTCTTTTGGATTCCCTAATCGGCTAAGGTTTTTTTTATCTCAGTTTGGTTTTTTAGATTTTTTGCTTATCCCTACTCTAGGCAACTGCATTACAAATGTTCAAGAATGAGCAACCAAACTATGTTTTTGTGTTTGTTAAGTTTTAGTTTTTGTGTTTGCGGTGTAAAAAACACTGTTAGGTATTTAGTAATACACCAAATTATGTTTTATATTGTGGGATTCATCAAAAAATTAAGTTTAAAACGCAGTTTTTGTAAAGCAATTTTTACATGCTTTTTTAACGGAGTTTTGTAAAACTTTGTTTGTTTTTGCATTTCAAAAGTATCTTTTTTAAAAAATTTAAAATATTTTTTTCTATACTTCAAATTAATTTTTTTGGTATTTTTAAATCATTTTGGTATGTTGATATCAAAAATAACTTTTTAAAAATAAAAAAAATTATTTTAATTTATTTCCAAATAAAAAGCAACCACAACCAAATATTTTATACATATTTTTTTGCTATACATAAACCTCAACCATAATTTTTACCAAACACATATCTAAATCCAATTAATCACAATTTTTTTTAAAATTTTTTTTAAACTACAACTACAAAAACTATCTTAAAAACAAATACCCTCTAATATCACTTGAAAACCCATTGGGTAGTCGGCTCGGAGGGTTCTGAATTTAAAATGCAGCAAGAGTCCTTTTAGGATTGCGTTTTGAAACCAGACGCTTGGCAATCATTTTTTTGCAGAAACATTAACCACTCTTCTTTTTAAAAGCATGTTTGAATAGGAATAGTAATAACGAAATTGAATCAAAATTTTAAAAATACAGAAATTTGGTGAGAACAATTAAAAAGTGACACTAAATTCAAATAAAACAGTGTAAGATAAAAATACCAACACCACCGTCCACCCCTATATATGGCCAAGCCGCCACTACCAGCAGCACCGGCCGTAGCCAAACCACCTCAGGTCCCTCGAAACCTTCTTTGCAACTCCTTAAACACAGATAAAACATTAAAAAGGGTTGTGAAAATAAAATATTGTTTGGTGAAGGATCATAACCACCAAATCATGATGTAGAGAAGTGCTGGAGTAAGACCCACCATATGGATCGGAGAAGTAGAAATTCGGACACGAGGTGGTCTTGAAAAGTAGATTTGTTTGGAGTCATAACAAGATTATTAATAGTCAAAACTGAATATGATTGCAGAAAAATTAAATAACTCAATTTTATATCCATCTCTTATTCTCTTGTCTTCTTTATCTTATTGTTTCTGTTTATTTTATCCCATGATAATAATTCAGTGTTATCTAAAATGAAAAGTATAAATATTTAAGTTCAAAAAGGGAAGGCAAGGCACAAAAATTCAACAGTTTTTTTTCCCATTAACAAATTCTTCACTCCCACCTTTGAAGAGTAACCCTTATCCTTACTTTTGAGGTGAAAAAATGTAAAAATAAATTTCCATCCCTTTTATACTCGTATCAACCTCAACCTGGGTTTTAGGACCAAAGCTACACGTGGGAGAACACAGAGACACGCCCATAAATATAAAGGAATTCATAAATAGATATGTAAGTTATATGAAACATCATAGTGTATTGTTACTTCTTATTTATTGTGATTTCGAACCAATCAATTTCCGGATCTAATTATTTGTTTATATAGACATGTATATGTCGCATTTTAATCTATTGGATAATTATAAATTGCTCATCTATATATATATATATATATTTTTATGAGCCAAATATACAAACTCTTAAGAAATTAGTTTTTTTTATGTATTATATGCAAGGACTTTTCATAATTTAAATGCATCATTTTTTAAAATCTAATTAATTTGAAATTTAATATGCATATATAGTTTATGTGATAGATTATTAATTTAATAGTTGGTTTGATAAGAATCGAAATACGTATGCAAGTTGGATGCCTAATGGCCTATATATGACAATTCTTTGTAACTTGTGTTAATGCATTAGAGTGTGTGTGTGTGTGTTCTCTAATTCAATCTTAATTATGACTACGTAATAAATGATGACTTCTAGACCAGAAAAAAATATTTGAAATACTAATCCTAGTTAAATTTAATATTTGTTTCTAGTAAACATTACAATCATAGTAAACCTCATAAATGGTTGTGCCTGTGCATAATGTAAAATGTATCACAAAAGTATAAAAGCCAAAGGTTCAAAGATGAGCCTCATCATCTTTTAAGTGAACATGTAAACCCAACTCATTTAATCTCTAATCATAACCAACAAGAAGTTTACACAACTATATATATATATTAGCAGTGAGATTGATAGTTGTATAGCTATAATACATTAATATAAAAGCAACTTCTCTCTCAAATTCGTATAAAATCAACTTTTAAGTAATTTTATAATTTGGTGGAATATATAAGAAGCTATGTAGTGATTAGTGGAGACAACTGCTGTACTGGTTGCACAGCACATATATCGGTTCAAGTGAAACATAAATGGGTTTGTTTTAATTTCAGATCTAAAATGATTTGTCAAATTCCTTACGGGAAGGATCTTGTTTTTGTTGCATTAAAAATTGATCCGAAAAATATCCTCTAACATCAAACAAAAAGCAAACCACATAATTAGATATTTGATTCCAGTCTAAAGCATGTAGGTAGCAACTTTCTGAAGGAACAATAACAACGGTAGATTGTGCATAACTTGAGATATCAAGTATATATTTTATTAACGATAGCTCAATTGTCATGTTTTGGGTTTGCTCTTCAATAATCATGAATTTAAGTTTTATTAGAGTTATTATAAGTTTATATGATCATTACCTTTAAAATTTATAAGATTAATTGAGATATGCATAGTTTATCCTAATATTCATATTAATTAAAAAAAATACATATTTTATAGAGAAATCCTAGTGATAAGTATATACATATTTTATAGAGAAATCCTAGTGGTAAGTATAGCTGAAGTTGCTAGCTACAGCCAGAACTTGACTGCTAACAATTAATAATGCTTAGCAGCCACAGAGCACGAGTATACTTAATTTATTTATTATTACAATGAAGAGGTTGCAATTTGAAATTTATTGAAGGAGAAAATTAATGTAAATGGGCTATAACTTATTTTGTATGAATCTTAATATTGTATTTGATATTTAAAGTTTTTAATGAATTTTTAGCATTTGATATTCGCATTATGATCCCATTCCTATATATGAAAGAGACGCACAAACCTGATTAAGTTGGATGAGAAGACAGACAAATCGAAACCAAATAAACAATCTTGCTTATTCTAATCCACTTGGCTTAACAACAACTCCACAAGGCATTAGGGTTCGTCTTTTATAGCCACGCATTAGGGTTCGTCTTTTATAGCCACCATACTCATCACGATCAAGTGTCACTAGCTTTAATTTATTTATAAGGATCAGATAATTAAATTCAAAATTCTATGTAGAGACAAACTGAACTTAATACGTACAAAGATGTAGCATTACTTTAGTGGGTTTGATGGCGGGGGATGGTTTTCTTTTTAAATAAAAACAAGAGACTAGAAACAAGCTGGTTTTTTATATATGTATAATTATTGTTCCTTTCTCCCATTCTTAATAAGGATTTATGAGTTTAGGTGAAAATTTTTGAGTTTAGGTGACTCAAAAAAGGACCTCATGACGTGACGATGATAACCATTATAGTGTTGTTATGAAACTCCCTAGGAGATGATGTCGGTGAAGAAAACCGTGTGAAATACAACAAGTTTGTGCATGACAGTGACAGGTGTCCAGGGAGATATTTGTGCCTCATTATGGCAAGCCTTTTAAGCCTCAGACATTGTCCAAAGTCCACTAAGAGCCCAGCATTGATACCAACTGGGAAGTCTCCATAGATTTCAATCATGACAGTCATTGTTCTTCCTTCTTAACCAACCTTGCAGAATATTTTAAATCATGCCTTTGGATAATGTAGCCCAAACGTTGGTCTCAAAATATGATGTCCAATCCATTTTGGAATCCATGGAGGTTTGCTCGGCTCTTTCTTCTCTACACCAACTTAATTTGATTACAGGGGATAGGCCATCACACGAACTAAAACCTTTGCTTAGTGCGTCTTCTCTCTCTTTCTTTTTCTTTGTGTATATTTGCGCGTGCCTGTGTGTGAGTGTGAGTGACATTCAACAAATGGAGGCTTCTGAGACTTTGATTCTATGCATAGAACTGCTACAGTGATAACAGTGGCAATTTTGTTATGGTGGTCGTGCAACAGTGCAGGAAGGATAAGTGCCTACCACGTTTCCTCACTTCTTATCCGGACATCCATGTTAGAAAAGCAGCAGGTCCAGGGTCCGATTCCATACACTAACTCCTTGACATTTATATGCCTCAACATAACATCAATAAATCAAACGACATTCGGTAAAAAAGTTTGGATGTCGTTGATAATTTTATAAGCTACATGAGATGATATGGTTTCAACAATAGAAATATGACGAAGCAAAGCCTCGTCTAGCTAAAGGAAGAAGCTTACGAAGCGTACCTGATAATAGGGATAAGCCTTTCCTGTGTTATTACTTACGGCTTACAAGCAAGAAATGGATGCGCTAATGTGCAATGCCTTTCACGAAGTTGCTCCATCCGTTTCTTGTTGCTTTAAAGCCCAACACTACTTTTGCTTAGTAAGCCTCTACTGCACCCAAAGTTGCTTTTATAAGCTTTCAAATACCATGAAAATGCTATGAGATATTTGACAATGATTGAAGTAGTTGAGTAGAAGGATCACTGTTAATATAGCTTGCCAAATTTACCACAGAGGGCGATGATTTCAACAACAGCAGGTAGCATATTGACAAGACCCCCAAACGTTAATGAGTAATGACCATCATCGCTTTCTGAAACCATAACAATCAATCGACTAGTCAATATGCTCTCCGAGCAAGAGAAATTAATGTAATGGCTTTGGCTGTAGTCAGCATCTAATCAACAACCAGAGGGAGGGGGATCTTCACTGGATAAAAATCTCTTGAGCATAAGCACCTCAGCGACAAAGATATTCTGACTGTACCAATCTACACAATTTTCCCGGCATGAAGCAGCTCCATAGGACTCTTGATTGCTTTTGAATTTTCAACACAAGTAGCGAAGAAAATTTTGATCAAGTTCAAGGAAGCCATTTTATAGGGAATAACTTCATAATGTTTCTATCATCCTCCACGAGATCTCTTCTATCTTCAGTTTCTCTCGTCCAGCTCCATTAAACCTGGTACATATCCTGATGATCTCAACAATTTTGTTAGCGTTCTCAAGGTGCCATATATTTGCTCCTTCTCAGGATGTCTTTCATCCAATGAATAAAACTCAACCAAATAATCATTGACCTCAATCAAACTACATCCTGGTAATTTTTTGAACCCAGTATCCCTCATTGCAACTTTTAGTCGTGCTACATCTTTCCATCTTCCAAAGTCCCCGTATATGTTTGAAAGCATCACATAATTTGCAGGGTTCTTTGGCTCAAATTCAATGAGTTTTTCAAGAGCCAGCTCAGCCAATTCAACATTTTTATAAACCCTACATGCCCCCAGCAATGCAGCCCAGATAACAGCATCGGCTTCAATTGGCATCTTTCTAATGAAATCCACAGCATGGGCTAAGCGACCAGCTCGCCCCAGCAAATCTACAATACAACCATAGTGTTCGATTCGAGGCACAATCGAATAATCATCAGTCATTGATTTGAAATGCGAGAAACCATCTTCAACCAAACCCATGTGCGTGCAAGCACACAAAATGCCTATAAAGGTGATTCCATCTGGGTTTTCTCCAGCTATCTTCATATGAGAAAACAAATTTAAGGCATCAGCTCCATGCCCGTGCACAGCCAATCCACCAATTATGGTATTCCAGCTGATCAGGTCTTTATTATCCATGCTTCTAAACATATCGAGAGCAGTTTCCACAACCCCACATTTTGCATACATATCCATCAAAGCATTCCTCACGTATACATTTCCTTTATATCCATGACTCTCTGCATACACATGTACCCACTTGCCCAAATCAAGAGCACCTAATCTCGCACAAGCAGACAACACATTCACAAGTGTAGCATCATTAGGAACTACAGTTCCATCAGCTAACATCCTTTTAAAAGCACTCAATACCTCGGAGAAACAGCCATTCCTTGTATACCCTCCAATCAATGCATTCCACGAAAAAACATTCCTCTCTGGCATCTCTTCAAACAATCTCTCACAAGCCATGACATCCCCATTACTAGCATAACCATTCAAAACTGTATTCCACGACATGACATCTTTGTTTGGCATCTTATCAAAAAGCTCCCGTGCTCGTATTACATCCTTTGCCTCGATATAACCCGAAATCATAGTATTCCATAGCACAATATCCCGCTCAGGAGCCAGATCAAAAAGGCGACGCGCGGTTACTAGATCACAACAAGTAATGTAGCCATTGATCATTGCGGTCCAAGCAATCACATTCCTCTCTATCATCTCGCCAAAAACTCTATAAGCCGCATGTATTGCTCCACCACTAGCATACATATCAATCAACGTAGTAGCCACAAAAGGGTTCGCCCTAAATCCACTTTTAATCACAAAACAGTGCACCTCCTCACCTTCTTTCAATGCATTAATCTTGACACAAGATTTAAGAATAACTGGGAAAGTGAAGCAATTAGGCATTACATCCAATCCCTTCATTTGTCTAAACAAGAATATAGCGTCCTTGTGAGATTCGTTTTGTGAATAGCCTCTAAACATTGCGTTCCAGATGGAGGCATTTGGTTCGGGAATTTGATCGAACACCTTGTGGGCATTCTCCATTTTCTTGAGGGAACCATAACCTGAGATGATTTTTGGGGCGATGTAATCTTCGTGTTCAAAGCCATGAGTGATAATTTGGGAGTGAATTTGGTGGAGAACCTTGAGGGTCTTACATGATTGTAAGAGAGAGATAAACTTCTCTTCAAGAATTCTGTGAGGGGATTTTGTGGTGAAACTTGGAAGTATGTTCGCTATTTTTCGCAGACAGCGCTGTCGCTCGGTTGAGTTGTAAAGATTAATGACTTTGAAAACCCTGAAAGCTGACTTGCATCGTCTTTCTATCCAAGACCGTTAGCTTACCCGTCAAATTTATTTCGAGAGCGACGACGTTCTATGACATGTAACATGCCTCTCGGACTGAAAGCGTTAACGAATTGCGGTTGAGGGGCCCAGATGCTAAATGCGTGAAGCATTGGGAGATTCATGGATGTTACAGCATGAGCTTCACAAAATTTATCTGATTTATGGGCTGTTTTGTTATTGGACTCCGTTCAGGATAGGTAATAGGAGGCATTCGTTGTGGGTTGTTTAAATTTTATTTTTAATTTTAAAAATAATATTTAACTGTTGTTAGTATGCTTTGAAACAAAAATAATGATCACTCAACCGGAGTTATAGACTTTACTGGCTTTAGTAATAAGATAATTTAATTTAATTTAATTATATAATATAAAAATGATAGTGAGTTTGTTTAATCAAAAGAGAAAAGTGATAATAATTACGTGTAGAAAAAGAATGTTTGCTAAGAAAAAATAAATTTAAAATTGAATTCTAAGATAAACAAATATTAGAAAGGATGGGACAAAAAAAAGAGCCATTCCAGGATAGCAAGAAAAATTGGTTACTTAAGTTATGAGAGGTTGTAATATTTTTATAAAAAACAAATAAAAAAATAAAAAATCTTTATTTTTAATGAACTTAATATTAAAAACTGTAATTAAAATATAAAATTGATGTAAAAAAAGATAAATGACAATTCAAGTTAACATTTCATAGCGACGACATCGTTCGTGAGACTTTGATCAAAGCATCAAAAGAATTAAAAAACTTGGATCTCAATTAATTCAATTATGAATAATAAAATTAAAAAAAATTAATGAAAAAAATAATTCAAAGTAAAAAAACAATTAAAATGATGAATACCAAATTTAACATGGAAACAAAATATGCGAAAGCCCCTGTCCAACCGAGTTAGCATAGAAAATTTACAACTTGAATTGTGAAGCCAAGTTATCATCATAAAAAAAAATGATAAAAAAAATAAATTAATTTTTAATAAACTTAATATTAAAGAATAAAATTAAAATAAATATTAGTATATAAAATATTTTTAAAAAGCTCAATATCAATCCAAGTTTAAGATTTTATATCCATGACTCGGGTCATAAATTCAGGATCATCATACAAAAACAATAATCATAAAACCTAATAATTAGTCAATTCAATTTTAAATAATAAAATAATAAAATAAAATAAAAAATAAACTAGAATAAAAAAAATCATTAAAAGAACAATAACTAGATTTAGCATAAAAAAATGATGGGGTGAAATTGAAAAATAAATATAATAAAAAAAGATATAAAAATAACCAAATATAACAAGAATTAAATAGAATTAAATATTAAAAAAAAATTGAAAAAAAAATCAATATAAAAAAAAAATAACAATAAAAAAATAATTGCAGCTAAAGCAAAAATAAATGCAAGGACAACTTTTATTGTTAGTGTGATTATAAAGGATATGATAAATAAAATATATGAAATAAAAAGAAATTAATCGTCGTCAAACTACTGTATGCTTGCTATGCCATTGAATACACCACTACATATTAGATAACAGAGTGGTCGGCTATTTCTATTATTACGGGCCGCCGTCTAAAAAGTATGGATGCCTTCCATATATGAGCGTGTACCATGCAGACGCCAACAAATTTTTTTAATAATATTTAAAATTGTCAAAATACTGAATTGCAGTTAAGTGTATTTGCTCTGCTACTACAACTATTAATAATAATAATAATAATAAAACAATGATAAGATGTCCGAAAAAAATAAAGCCCCCTGACGCAAGCCTAAAAACATGCGAGTTAAAATATAATTTAGTAACTTTAATTTTCAAATTAAAATGAATTTCCGAAACAACGACCATGAATGCATGTTAATTTTATTTTTTCCTTTAAGAACTGTTTAATAATTTTACTATGCAATGAAAACGAGAGGTCATGATACGTCTTTGGTCAATTTGATAATTACAAACAGGTGATTTGAAAATAAACTCTTAAAGTTTTCCCGTCGTCATTATCTTTCTCTCTTGCGAAACAATAAAGCAATCAAGCTAAGGTTCATTTATTTATAAATTAGTTTTTTTTAAGTGATTTTTATGAAAAATAAATTTATAAAAATAAATTATCTTATAATATTTGATAAGATCATGAAAAATAAATTAATTCTTTTTAATGTTTGATTATGTAATAAAAAATAACTTATTAATATTATTTTTAAAAAAATTATTAAAATAATAAGAACAAATCTTACCGTTTAAAAAGTTAAATGAAAATAAAATTTAAAAAATATAATCTTATAAATTATCTCAAAATAATAAAGATCAAATCTAATAGATAAAAAAATTAAAAGATGATGAAATTAAAATTAAAATAATAATAATTTTATAAATTACTTCAAGTAAAATAAGTAACAATAAAAAATTAAGGATTAAATTTAATAAATAAAAACCTTTAATAAAAAAATAAATAACAATCATAAAAATAAAAAAATCAAGGATAATATAACAATAAAATTAAATCAAATTATAGGGGATAAAATTGAAAAAAAGATTTAAAATAAAATATATAGCAATTAAAAATTTAAAAACCAAATTTGATATATTCAGCAAAGAATATGATATTTATAGTTTTTCTACAGCTTTTAAAAAATATTTTTCATTTAAAATAAAAAAAATATTTTTTGACTGAAAAATATTTTTTATTAACTAATTTTTCTAATAACAAATAAATATATAAAATTTTTAAAAATAATTTACATAAAATTACTTCTATTGAAACAAACAGAGCTTGAGTTTACCTTTTATTTTCTTTTCAACTGCAATAATCTATAATGCTAAAACTTTAGAATTTTTTTTTAATGCACCATTCATCTTTTTCTTTTTTTTATTCCAAGTACGTATGATTATCTTTCTTTTTTATTTTATGTGAGATTTTCAGAATAGAAGCAGTTTAAAGTGGTGTGTTTGATTATGACACCTGAATTATTCATGGATCAATGCACTTAAGTGCTAGCCAGTAAAATATTAACACACGGTCCATCTTATCACGTTTGCAGATAAAAATAAAAAATCAAAATCAAAATATTGATACCAAGCAGAAAATATATGATTTTCGTAGATAAATAGATACAAGTCTATTATAAATTATTTTTCTCAAACCACTATAAACTCATACAATAAGTTTTAGTTTGGTATGCATATTAAATATTTTTTTAGAAAATACAAAAAAAAAAGAAACTCATTTCTTATATTACATCAACCTATATCAATGTCCTTTAAATTCTCGAAAAGTTATTCTAAAAATTAAAGTTTAATTTTGTCTAGCATATTCAAGACCCTAATTTATGCACTCGATGGAGAGATGATAAACTTTCTTGTCAGGCTAAATATCCCTTTTTTCAAGTGAATAATCTAACGTGTTTATGCTTTGTGAATCTATTTTCTCCGTTAAAAAAAAGTGTTATATATCTATTGAAAGTATACAACCTTTTCCCTTAAACACACAAATATTTTATTATTCATTAATTATATTAAGTCTAATATTAATTTTTTGATTGCTTATATTTTGTTTTAATTTATTTTTTTTTATTTTTTATTTTATCCATTAGAATTTTATTTTAATTATTTTGATTGTTATTTATTTTTCTTTTAATTGAATTATTTTATCTATTATATTTAATCATTATTCTTTGTTGTTATTTATTTTATTTAAAATAATTCATGAAATATTTTTTTAGATTTCATTCTCTTTTAATTTTTTATTTATGAGATATGTTTTTAATTTATTATTATTATTTATTTTATTTGAAATAATTTATGAAATCAAAATTTATCTTTAATTTCATCCCAATTTAACTTTCTTATTTATTAAATTTAGTCATCTTATTTTAATAAACTTAAATGAAAATTAGAATATTAATAATTTATTTTTCAATTTATTTTTCATGATATATTAAAATATTAAAAATATTTTTTAATTTATTTTTTATAACTATCAAATATAAAAAAAAATTTATTTTTTACAAATTCACTTCCTATAAAAACTAATTTTCAAAAGAAAATTATCTTCTAGAAAACAAAAATGCCTTAATCTTGATGAATCATGAGCTAACATATGTGTATGTGTATGTGTGTGTATATATATATATTTCGCTTGAATTGCCAATCAAAACGAAGGAGTTTAAACTACGAGGTTGCTATAACATCTTTTAAATTATTTTATTAAGATATAAAAGTTTATTTGATATCTGATCTGCAAAAAGACAATTAGTTAGGATAATTAATGTTCCTGGATGTCAAACAATCCTGATGTTGACTAGTTTGAGCAAATTTCCTGAGGAAAAAAGAGGCCGGGGAGCAGTTTTACTTTGTTAAACAATGGAATGGACGGAGCAGATTGCTTCTTGAAATCGAACGGTTAAAAGAGGTAGGCAAAGCCATCGAATCATTTTATCGTTTTATTTATTCCGAAATCTGGCAAGTAAAATTTCCCATTACCAATATAGCTAACAAACAGTGCCAGTAAGATCCATCGATCACAAAGAAAACCAACCTCGAACTAACCCATAACCAGAAACCCATCTCTGCTTAAGCATCGATCGATGTCCCTCTTAAACCAACTCTTCAACAGAGGCGTTTTTGGTTCTAAATGGTCTCTTCTTAATTTCCTTTCAGTTTTCGTATAATTTTTATTATTTACGTTGGTTCTGGAATTGAATAAATTTGTTTTTATTTCTGTTGTGATTTTTTTTTTTAAAATTTGATGACTGGTTTTGTAGCAAAACATGCTTGAGCCTGGCAATCTCGCGCATTAAATTGCTGCAAAACAAGAGAGATTTGCAGCTTAAACACATGCGCAAGGAGATTGCGCAATTTCTTCAGGCTGGCCAAGAAGCAATTGCTCGAATTAGGGTTGGTATCCCACCTTCTAGATTTTGATATCACTAATGAACATGTGCTAAGAAACGAGGATGTTTTTAAAGAAACAACACTTTGGTCTTTGCTTTTGTTAGGTGGAGCATGTAATACGAGAACAAAATATACGGGCTGCTTATGAGATACTGGAGCTGTTCTGTGAGTTTGTTCTTGTGCGTGTTCCGATTCTTGAAAGTCAAAAGTAAGTTCATTTACTGCCGTGATTTGTTTCTTGACTGGAGATGCTTTGGGACATCAAATTATGTTTATTGATGATAATTGAAGCAGTATATACTTCGTGTTTGATGGAGAACCGTTGGTTGAAAATTTCTAAAAACAAATGGCTGAAAGGACGAGTCTTTCTCTTGGCTTTATTATTAAGTACAAACGATTTAGATTCAGAGCATTGTATTTAGGATCTTGATTTTGAAAGAACATGCCTGTCGGTTGTTTAGACAGTTGGTCATGTGGTTCCATGGTTATGAATCTTTGGGGTGTTTGTTGACCCCTAGCATAATTTGTTGCATGAGCCTGTTGGAAATTGTGTTTAAGATGCAACTTTCATTCGGCGAATATGGTGATAACTACCTTAGCATTGCTTGGACTGAGTAAACTCAAATTGATCTTGATGTCATATATGAAAATATTCCATACCTATTTCTAGATGAGATTATTGAAATTTTTTGAAAGACAGATGTTCTTCACAAGTTGTGTTGAACACCAAGCAACAAACGTTTCAATTTTTATTGCCTCTTATTATGAAATTTTGAATGGGCGATTGTTCACAATGTAATTCTTAAATAAAAATTTATTAATTCTTAGTAAGGATTATCAAGTAAGCTCCAATAATCAAAACAAGCTTCAATGATGAAAACACCAAAAAAATAGAAAGAATTAACTCACAGAAGCAAAACAACAGCTTTTACATGGCTAATCCTTCCAAATGGATGTAGAAACCATGGCATGGATGTCTATTAGTTCTTCCTTTATGGAAAATAGAAGGTTTATTGGAGGGGTCATCTCTAGCTCAACTAGAAGGTTTATTGGAGGGGTTATCTCTAGCTCAACTAGAGGCTACATAAATATTATCAACACCTGCACTTCTAGACAATAATACTAGCCACCTATAAGCTGTATTCAATATTAAATTAAAAAAATATAGGATGGGTTTCACAAATAGAAATACATGAAATACTAAGAGGATAAGACCTGTTGAATGGCTACTGTTTTAGTAATATACTGAATCAGGAGCTTAAACCAATCATCCAATCTAGGATTTAATTTTGGAAAAAACTAATCTTTTTTTCCCCTTTTCTTTCCCCCTTCAATCTTCCTCGTTTTTCTCACTTTTCTTCTCTATTACTCCTAGAAAACCAATCTTTGGCATTTTGAATGCTCGACCCTTTGCACAACCACTTTACTCTCCATCATCTTGTTTAAAGAATTGTGAGCCTGACCATATGGTCCGAGGGAAAGTTTTGTTGAACAAGTTCCAGTACATGGATCAGACACTTGCTCAACAAATCTCTCCTTCTCACCCCATATGGTTAGACCTGCCATTCTTAAAACAGTACATAAATAAAAGGCTATAAAGGTGATAGGTTCTGCAATGTAGCCAATTGTCAGCCTTATTGCATGTTCAGCCTTGCATTTTGCTTAAAGCCACCTCATAAATAGTGCACCTGATGCGATGCTTAGAAAGCTTTTATCAAACACTATTAATGTGGTAGCTTTTTAGCATACTGCATGACTTAACACATGATTAGTCTTTAGAAACCAGAATTTGGCTTCTTCAATGAAGAGGGGGGATGTGAATTGTGAAGATTCTAGAGGGTGAAAAAAAAGGAATACAAAATTACGAGTTGGAATAGAATGGCCATGAAACCTGTTTTTGATAGAACTCTGGTATTTCTCACTTTCTGTTGAGATCCTCACCTGTTATTGGTATACTAATGAAATCCACTTTTGGGTGATGATTTGGTAAATTAGTAGGAGCCAAATCTGTGTTCTTGATAGTTGTAAGCTTTTGTTACCTGTACAGGCTGTGACTGCAAAATTTTTTTATTAGAAAAGTTCAAGGTGTGTTTAATTTATACAAAAAAGAGAGGAATAGAGTCTTCTAACGTGTTTTTCATTGAGTTCATCGGAAAATATAAATAGAAGAGCAAAACAAGAGTTATTTGTTGGCTCATAATAAAATATTTACTACTAAAAAATTTCTCCTAAAAATTTCTTGCATTTTGATTCCACCAATAATTTGTATTATCGGGAGCCATATTCAAGTAATTTTTTTCTTTAAATGGTTATATCTTAGAGGCATGTATGGTTACACTGGTAAGGTCTTAGGGTAGTTTGTTCCCTATGTTCTTTTATCCAAATCATTATTGAGGGACTGGATAACATTATGAAAATTGTGGTTAAGATATGAGGCATTCTTGGAAACATGTAGCTAAAACTTGTCTCGCCACCAATAAACTGATCAACCTTTTTTCATCCTTTTCTGCTTAACAGGGAATGTCCAGCTGAATTGCGAGAGGCTATTGCAAGCATAATTTTTGCTGCCCCAAGATGTTCAGAAGTGCCAGATTTGCTGCAGATCAAGAATTTGTTTGCTGCAAAATATGGAAAGGAATTCAACATGGCTGCATCTGAGCTCCGTCCTGATTCTGGTGTCAACCGTGCAGTTAATCGGCTTAACCTTATTAAGTTTCTTCAACTTTGATATCCATGCATGTGCAGTCATATTAATAACTAGAATGTAATGATTTAGACTTTTCTTTGGTGTTGCTTGTGTAGATTATTGAAAGGCTTTCAGTTAGAGCTCCACCAGCAGAGGCAAGGCTCAAGGTTTTGAAGGAAATCGCGCAAGAATTTAGTCTTGAGTGGGACTCTTCTAACACAGAGGCTGAACTTGGGAAAAAGCATGAAGATTTGCTGGTAGCTGTCAATTTCGTTTTGTTGGTTGCACATATTCTAAAGCCTCCTTTTTATGCTACATTGACAATACTTAAAAGAGTGCCAAGCAAAAGAAAGTCTTGGAAAATTGTTCATTATATCTGAATGCTTTTATGTTTTTGCATGTAGTTAATTGCATTTGATTTTTTGTTTTTTCAAGAGTATTTAGTGCTATGGTCATTAATCAATCGTAATGTTTCAAGTGTACCAAAAAGTGAAGAATAGTCAAAAAATGAAAAGTAGTGAAGTTTAGGAGTGAAGATGACTAAAAGGAATGATTTCAAGCACCAATAAAAGGCACCAACAATTAACACACTGCCCTCCATTTTCTGATGCTGGTGTTCATGCGCATGTCTCCTATGCCAATCCCATGTGCTCATGCTGGGTTGGGCTGTCAAATATAACAGTAATGTAGATCTTAGGTAGTATATATTTCTCATTCGACCCTGCAAAATTTTATTTAATCCATGCCATTTGGGATCATATTTGAATCATTTACTTTTAGCCTGTTGTCGTATGATGTTGTCTATGTCCGTGTGATGCTTATTACAATTAGGGATGGTATCATTTGTTATATTCTTAAGCTTTGGTGACATCCATGATAAATTCTCTATGTTAGATAGCATGAAATGACTGATGATTCTGAATCTGCATTATCTACTACATGAAAGAGACAAAGTGGACTCAGAATACCTTTCTTTGCAAGTCTTGAAGGATACATGAGCATCCATCGAGAAAGATTTGTTTTCTCATCATTAGAGGGAGACTGTTAGACCAATGGGAGTGCATCCACAACTTTCTTTGCTGGAAATAATGTAATGTCTGATTAGCTTGTATGTAGAATTCTTCAATTGAAACTTGGTTTATAGGCTTGTTATTGTCTAAACTCAAAACATGCAAAAAACTTGATCTTGGTTGAATATAAGGTTTGTTTAGGATTGTTCAATATATAAATACAATACAATTTCATTTTGTTGCTGCATTTTAAAATTTTGGCAACCCGTAACTGCTTGCTTCTTCGTATGGCTTTCATTGTTGTGTTTTCTGTGTCTTTTGAGAAAAGCATTTTTGGTTTTCTATTGCGTAGACTAAGATACAAATCTGATTTTTTTTATTTAAATCTGTAGGGTGGATCAAAGCAAATTATGGCTGATGCAATACTTCCTCAAGCACCCACCAAACAGAGCTCTTCTCTATCCCCACCTTCCAACGGGGCCCATTCTACCTTAACTACTGATAATAAGCAAGGATCTCATCATATTGAAGCTCCTGCGCTTGTGGGCAATATGCCCCAGGTCAATGCTAACGAAATTGAACCATCAATCAGGAATTATATGGCTGATGTTCAAAGGGAGACAGCATCACAATCATCTGATGTCTTGGAGAGAGCTCGAGCCGCCATTGCATCAGCTGAGCGTGCAACTATTGCTGCCCGTGCAGCTGCTGAACTTGTAAATGTTAAATTTGGTTAATTTAAGCTAGGCGAAGGTAAGTTTCTTCAATAATCGACCCTCGATTATGAGATATTTCTCAATGTCACAGAGCCAAGCATGCCAAAAGATAAACCAAAAGAAAATGTATATTGGTCCGTATAAAAGCACTATCTTGCAAAAACTGGAAGCTGCCAAGTTAATCGTATCGGTGATGTTCTTATAACTTCATTGTCTCTTCTTGCTGAACTACTAACAAAGCCTATGATTGTATCAATTCTATCAAATCCTGTTGCATCTGTTTTCTGCACATAATGTTTACTATGTACTTTTCTGGGATTTATTGTTTGGTTAGCATTGTTTACCAATATCCGCGGCCAATGTTTGTAATTCGTAGCCGCATCCATTGGTCACACAAGTGTATGCTGCCGACCAAAAAACAAGCCCACGCCTCGTGACTGACTTTCCCTTCAACTGGTAATATTATTAATAATAGTATTATAGATTCTTCTGTGGTAACGGGGTGAGATTAGAGGTAAGGACCGTATTTTGCTCTCGTGAATTTATATTTCCTTAAATCTTTCAAAGAAAATAACGCGATAAAAATACAACTGAAAATTACTCAGCATGTATGGCTGGGCTTCGGTCCATAAGATGGTTTCAGGGAGGAAGACTAAAATTTCTTGGTTGCAAGGCCCCGCTTGTACCAGTGACGGACCCGTTTTTGGTAATATGATTAGAAGCCCATAGCGTTGTCAAGATCTAATATAACAAGTACAGGATATTCTTTCCATCTTGTTTCAAAGAAGGGCAGCTTGAAGGACAGTATTGCGTATCTGTGATGGAAATGTTTACCTTTTCTTTTGTATTTGCTTCTAATAATTCTTTCCCTGGATCATCAAGTGTATTTATTATTCGATTAAGCTTCAAAACTTTTCATGAAAACTGGATAATCCATATACTTGGGAAATGTCACCCATCATACGTGCATGAACGTTTTCTAAATTATAATAACGATATTTCTAGCATTATTGATACCAAAGAAAAACTAGAGGTGAAGTAACTAAATTTTAACCGTTATGATCTCAGGAGACTAGAATGAAGAGAGAGAAAGAGCTCAAGTATTCATGAGTTTATTATTGTAATAATTATTTTTAATTTTTTTTTATTTAGAAATGTAATAAAATAATTTTTTTTTGTTTTTTTAAATTTAGTTTTAACTTTATCGTATCAAAATGAACTAAAAAAACAAAAATAATTTAAAATTTGAAGTAATAAAAAATAAAAAATAATTTTTCTCAAAAACATTTAAAACTAATAGATATAGATATACACACACACACACTTGCACAATAACAACTTTGCATTAAAAGATGAACACAAAATCCGTTTGGCTGGGTATATAGTCATAAGAAATCGAAACATCCTTGTCATGACGACACAACCTTCGCTACATGCACTCTACACTCCAATACACAAATATTACACCATTTTTTGTCTTAATATTTAGACTATCTTTGAATCAGTAGCTTAAGTAGTAACAAAAACCATTTTTTTAATCCAAATATTAAACATGCAACGAGTTGAATGCTTCAAATCGATATATATATATATATATATATATATACACATACATACATACATATATATATATATCGATTTGAAGCATTCAACTCGGCAACGTAGAGGGTTAGATTCAACAAGAATCTTTGAAGAGGCAAAAAATGCAAGCGGAGACAAGATTGAGTTTACCCAGAGAAATGTAATAATTAATCGCATTCCTCAGCAAGATCATGAATATCTCTCACACTCATATGCAACCCAAACCCATGTCGGTTTCCCAAAAGACAGGACCCTTTCATTCATCAAACTTGATCCATACAGATCTAAAGAGACATAAAACACGCACCGTACATATATTCACTGTGTGAGAGAGACTGATAAAGATGTGTCTTGAGTTGTAGCTAGGTCGAGAAAGGACAGGAGTAAACAAGATCGATAAAGAAAGCAAAAATAAATAAATAAATACTGTGTGGAGGGACAATGATATCCTTATAAGAAGAGGGCACCATCAATTGATCAAAGGCGTGATCTGAACTAAGAAGCCACTTTGATTTTGTTGAAGTGAAGGGTCGTTTTCGCCTTGAACTTCGTTTTGTAATCGAAGGAGATGTTTCACCATTGGTACATTCAACCGATGCTTGTTGCTTTGTCTTTTTTATTTATTTATATTTTTAAAAAAACTTTATCAGTGTACTTTTTTTGAAAGAGCGTTAATTGATAATGCTGTTTTTTAAAGTTTTTTTGGTTTTTAAAAAATTAAAATAATATTTTTTAAATTCTTCTTGTACAATAATAAATTAACTAGACTTATACCCGATCTCTGCTATAAATCTACAGATTTAATATCTACATCAAGAATTTTTCTAATAGAAATTACATCACAGTGATGCTTTTTACAAATAATTTACAGTACTTGTATCAAACCTGAAATTCCATTAGCACGACTTCTGATCGATGTTATGAGTCCGGAGCCTTGTTCCAAACCTTTTTTTCCTTGATCCTAAGAGTTTTCCTGGGTCATCCTTCACATCTTTCACATGGACGTGACTCGCGACTCGTGACTCGTGGGTAAGTGATCATTCTCAAGAGCCAAATCAAGAAGAGTCCATCAACTTGATACTCAAAGGATAGGATTCAAACTATAAATATACTCTTCCATCACTTACGTATTGTCTCTTTTTATTTACATTTTTAGTAGCTTATTCATGTATAAACTGGTATATGCATACAAAATTAGTTTTTCATTATCTTTTCTAGAAATTAAATCTTAGATAATAATATATAAAGTACTAGTTACTTGACTTGGATTTCGCTATGCTATGGGTCAAATAATATTTTTTAAAAAATATATAAATAAATATATAAGCTTCTCAAATCTGTTTATTTATTTTAATTATAGATAAAAAAAATCCATGCATACATTTAATTAAATATATCAAGAACTATATTTGCCAACAAACACAAACAACAAAGTGTTAATTCGTCTATTCAACTTGTTTTGTTGCAGATCGCATAATTTTTTTACCACAAAATCATTAATGTGTAGGTATTATTAACGTATTTTTTTGACATCGAATAAGAAATATAATCGTGAATAAAAAATTTAATGATTATATATAATAAAATATAATAAATATGATATACATTAATAAAAATATATAAGATCTTAAGATAATTTTTAAAGTAATAAAAGAATAAAATAATATTGTAATTACTATAATGAAACACCATTTTCTTAGTCTTTGTCTAATAATATTTTCAAAAAAAGATGTAAAGAAAAAAATTATAAAAAAATAAAGATAAGAACCAAAAAAAGGTATAAATAGACCAAGTGTAGAGTGATAAATATTTAAAGTGTAAGAAATAGAAAATAATATTTTTTTCCAAAACAAGTGTAAAGAAAAATAAATGAAAAAATAAAAAAATTACTAAAAATGAAGATCAGAAAAAAAAATAGTGATAAATAGGTTAGGTGTAAAATGATAAAAATACTAAATATAAAGAGAAAAATATACAAAAACTTTTTTCTAATATAAAAAACTGAAAATTATAATTTTACCATCGCTAAAGTATTGATATAGTAAAAACAACTGTTAAAATTTGTAATTATACCATTTTTACAGGAAAATGCCACATAAAAACCCGAAAGATTCTAATTTTACCATCGCTATAATACCCATGCAGTAAAAACAATTAGCAAGATTTATAATTATATCATTAATTTCTAGAAAATTTCTAAAAAAACTTGAAAACCACAACTTTACCACCGCTACAGTACCACTAGAGTAAAAACAATTTACAATGATGTTATTTCTACATGAAAAAACCATTAAAAAAACCCAAAAAATCACAATTATGCCACCGCTAAAAACGCTGCGGTTTTAGCATATTATGCCACCCAAAAAACCCAAAATTTACAATCATGTACAATCACTGTAAAAAAATAGGCAAAATCTATAATCTTGTCATTTCCATAAGAAAATACCGTTTTGTTTTAGTATATTTATAACATCCAATCTATTAAACTAATCCTTTTGATTCACCATTTTTAAAAACAGGCCATGAATGATGAAGCCTTGCATTTTCTGTTGCCGTAATCATGACTACCGAAACAGGACGCTGCGAACCCTAATTCAACGTAAAGGCTATACAAACACATCATCAAGCTTCTAATTTGGTCCTCGAAAGCAACAATTACATCATCCTCAAGATAGATCTCCTACAACATCATGAAAGAAAAACAATAGATTTCATCATATTGGTATCTTGGAATACTAGAAGAACCGGAGGCTTCCAAACGATCAACATCATCGACTCAAAAACAACAAGATAAATTTCACTTCGGTCGAACTTAAAATCATCACTTCAAATACAAAGTGATACACTTCCTACCTATCGTTTTCTTCTTCTGTGATACCATACCCTCTCTCACTTTTGTCTTTTGTCTCAGGCTACTCTTATAATTGGTACAAAAACTAAAGTGATCGGCTTTTATGCCTAGTCACAATCACGACTTTAAGGCCTTTTTTGGGAGTGAAGAGCTTCGGTTCGTAAACAAAGAGAATCCCGCCCGACAATTTTTCCCTCGGGGACTCATTTAGGGCCGCTGTCAAGCTCATTTGTCTAGTAGAATTCTTGCTTCTCTTTAATTAGTAGTGGTTTAAATTTGCCTTGATTTTCATCTATTATTGTCTAAATATATTTTCTTAACCATAAGAATTATATCTTGTAAAACATTTCAGTGCAAAACAATACAAATCATCAAAGAATCAACTAATTTTATTAGTTTAAACTATTATATTGGATTTTATGAATGATATTATATTAATTTTTTAACACTCTCTCAATTTTCAAGCAAGAATCTTTTAGACTTGAAATGAATAGTATTATATATTTTAAAATAAATGTAATGTATTATATTAACCTCTTTGATATTTTTTTTAATTAATTTGTACTGAAACTTTATTTAATTAGAGAGAATGGAGATTGTGAGATTATGTATAAGGAGCTTTCTTGATTTCTTTTTAATTTTTTTCATTAATTAATTCATAATTTTTATAAGGCACACATCTTCCATGGAACAAGAGATTTGATAACACAAAAGTAACACACCTGAAATATGATTCTTACTAAAAACATTAATAGATGCTAGTTTGGTTCGGTTGATTTAATTATAAGGCTAGGTACAAATATACATGTTAAATTATTAATGTACCTAAAGAAGATTCTAGAGATCAATTCTATAGAGCACTACAAATTACATGTTAGTGCTAAACTATGTTAGGAAAATTCTAGAGAAATCAAACAAACACTAGGAATGTTTCTTT